GTCAGTGTGTGTTTAGTGCTGAACCTGCCTTCTGTCTTTGCTTCAGGCTGAGGTGAGTTTCCTCCAGCACTGAATCTGATGACACGAGCTTGGCGTTTCATGAGGCATTCAAAGAGAGCGCAACATCTGGAGTTTTCAGCTGTTCAGTCTCCAGGAGCACAATTTAAGTTAACTAAACATACGATGAGGCCTTTTAGGGTCTATCCCATTAGATCAGGGGTATTCAATTAATATTCACTGAGGTCCAGTTACTAAAATTTCCTCCTAGTAAAAGGTCCAAATGAAAGTCCAATTTTTTTCTTATGGTCTTGCCTTCCTGTAATCACATTTTCACTGTTAACAAACTGCACTTTATAGTAAACAACTATCTCTATTACATCCAGCTTCTTCCACTTATCCGGTGTCGGGTTGCGGGGGTAGCAGCCTAATGCCCCTTTTCCATTAGTACCGGTACGGGCCGACTGGACCCTACTTGGCCCGGTTCTGAGGCTTTTCCATTAGTACCGGTACTTAGCACCTGTTACTATTTTCAGTACCCTTGGCTCTGTGGTTCTAACCCGAATGAAGAGGTACTAAAACGTGATGTCAGAACACTGTCGGTCACTGATTGGTCTGGGGCGGAGTCACTGGATCCTTCAGAAACTTTTCAAAACAATAATCCGCCATTTGCAATTTCTCGGACTGGAGCAGCGGCTGGACTTATTTTAAAGATTTTAAAAACAATACTGACAACATCTTGGTCTAATGCTGATGTGCTGGCATTTTTTGTGCTTGGTGGCTGACAACATAATTCAGAGCAAGTTGGATGGAGCTCCGCTGGTGTACCCCGATCCTCCCTCCGGAGCCTCGGAGCGCCAGGCCGGCAGGGCGTCATCTCCCCGGCTCCAAGTTCAGCTGGTCACCGCGGAAGATCCTTCGATGTGCCAACTCGGAGGCTCGGGTTCCGGATACCAGCCTTGTGTGCTCAGAGCTCCGCTGGTCACTGCGAAGCTGGAGATGGGGACTCGCAGATGCCGTTGCGAGACCCGGCCATGCGTAATCATGAAGGCTGAATCCCGATCCAGCCCGGCAGTCAGGCGGACTGGACAGTATGGGACGGACGGTGGAAGCGATTTTTAAATAAAATAATATTTTGTTTTTATACAAAAAATGTTTTAAAAAATTGCTGAAGCGATTTAAAAATTATTATTTTTTTTTTTACACGTAATATGTTTTTTAAAATCGCTTCCACGGTTCGTCGTAGACCCGTCTCTGTCCGCCTGTCTGCGCGTGTCGGGCTTTCATGATTACGCGCGGCTGGAGTCTTGGAACGGCCTCTGTGAGTCACCAGCTGAGCTCGGAGCTAGGAAGATGAGCCTGCCCGTCCCGTCTCCGGAGGAGAGGATCTTGTGAGACCAGCAGAGCTGGTCATTAAAAAAAAAAAAAAATATATATATATATATATAAATATATATATATATATATATTAGCGTTGAAGATTAAAATAAAATAAAAGTAAACGGTGCCAGCTTCATCATGAAAACCTGTTTTCACTTTAATGACTGTTAACTCAGCTGGAAATCATAAAAAGACACAAAACTATTGGATCTAAGGAATATTTCCCTCAAACATGTTTAAAGAAAAGAGACGACCTTCAGTTCAACTTTATTTTAACCCACAAATGTACAAATCACAAAACAAGAACTTTAAAGCAAAGCTAAAAATAAAATGTATATATGTGAACAAGAAAGAAAACCACACATCTAAAATGAACATTACACAATGACAGTCAGTCAGTCTGAATTACAGTCAGACACAATGAGTGCAAATACATCAAATGATGATGAAAACTTATACAAATTTAAATCTAATGTTTTTGTAAAATCTGGTTCATCAGAGTTTTAATTTATATACATATATATATATATTTATATCTATAAATATATATAGATAAATACATATATATGTATATATATATATAAAAATACATATATATGTATATATAAATATATATGAATATATATAAATACATATGTGTATATATATATATATATATATACATAATTGTGTGTATATACATATGTGTGATATATACAGTATATATATTTATATATATATCACATATGATATATATATGATATATATATATATGATATATATATATGATATATAT